TCATGTCTTTAAACTGCTAAGTTGACAGCAGCTGGGGCTAACAGCGGGAGCTCACCCGACCCCCCAGATTCAAACCGCTGACCTTTCAGTCAGCAAGTCCAGCAGCTCAGCGGTTTGACGTGCTGCGCTATTGGGGGCTCACCGCTGCCTTATACACTGTAAAAAAAAGTTGTGGGTTGCTGTGAGTTTTCCAGGCTATCTGGCTACGCTCCAGAAGCATTCTCTCCTGACTTTTTGCCCACATCTCAATCGGGAACCCACAGAGGTTGAGGGGTCTTTTGGAAACTAGGCAAGAAAGATTTATATATCTATGGACTGTCCATGGTGTAGGCGAACTACAACTCCCCCTAAGATCTCCAGTATTTGTTAATGGTCGTGGGGGCTCTGTATGCAAAGTTTGGCCCAATTCCATCTTTAATAGAGTTCAGAGTGCTCATGAACTATAAATCCCAGTACCTACAATTCCAAAATGCCCAGACGAATTTCCCCCAAAATCCACCAATATTCAAATGTGGGTATATCGGGTATAGATGCCAAGTTTGGTCCAGATCAAATAATGCAAACAATGCGTGCAGATCCCAGTAGGGTGGCCTTTTGCAGCTGACAGATGGTAATTTTATCAGCGCCGATTGTCTTTAAGTGCAGGTCAAGGTCTTGAGGCACTGCACCCAGTTTGCCGATCATCACTGGGACCACCTTGACTTGCTTGTGCCAGAGTTGTTGTTGTTGTTATCCTGATTTTAGAGATTTTTTTAATATTGTTCGCCAGATTTTGTTCATTTTTATGGTTTCTTCAAATGCAATCTCTTCTGGAAAACATTTCCCTTCATTTCTGAGAGGTTTAACCAGCCCTGGGTACCAGGTGCGGGATGTAACACGATGAAAGGGACAAGGAGGGAGTTCTCAGAGTTCATTACGCATTGCCTAAGCGCTCTGGCCTGCCAAATTGACACATACGCACCCTTGATACAAGCCGCAGACATCTGGATCCCATTAGGCAGCTAGCTTTTTCCCCAAAGCTCAGCATTTTTGCAGATTTTTTTTTACATCAATTTTTGCAGATTTTCTTTACATCCTCAATTCCCTTGTCGTTGTCCCCCCAAAGGTAAACATACAGATCTCCTTCCCTTTAAGGGCTTCAAATGCACACTTTTAAGCACTCCCAATGAAACAGAAGAACGGCCTGCCTCAGGGGAGCGTGCTTGCTCCATCCATGTCCACTGCCAGAAGGGACAGAGAGCTTCACCTATGCTGATGATCGTGCTATCACCGCTCAAGCAGGGAGCTTTGAGATGGTAGAACAGAAGCTCTCCGAAGCTCTAGGTGCCCTTACTGCCTATTACAGGGAAACCAGCTGATCCCTAATCCATCTAAAACACAGACATGTGCCTTTCATCTCAAGAACAGACAAGCATCCCGAGCTCTGAGGATCACCTGGGAAGGAATCCCACTGGAGCATTGCAGCGCACCCAAATACCTGGGAGTCACTCTGGACCGTCTCTGACCTACAAGAAGCACTGCCTGAATATCAAGCAAAAAGTGGGCGCTAGAAACAATATCATACGAAAGCTGACTGGCACAACCTGGGGATCACAACCAGATACAGTGAAGACATCTGCCCTTGCGCTTTGCTACTCTGCTGCTGAGTACGCATGCCCAGTGTGGAACACATCTCACCACACTAAAACAGTGGATGTGGCTCTTAATGAGACGTGCCGCATTATCACGGGGTGCCTGCGCCCTACACCACTGGAGAAATTACACTGCTTAGCCGGTATTGCACCACCTGACATCCGCCGGGAAGTGGCAGCCAATAGTGAAAGGACCAAGGCAGAGACATCTCCATCCCATCCCCTGTTTGGGTATCAGCCAGCACGTCAACGACTTAAATCAAGAAATAGTTTTCTAAGATCTACAGAGACACTCGCTGGAACACCCCAGCAAGCGAGAGTCCAAAAGTGGCAGGCTCAAGCCCAGAACCTCAATCAATGGCTGATACCAAATGAGAGACTCCCCCCTGGGCACACAGAAGACTGGGTGACTTGGAAGGCGCTGAACAGACTGGGCAGTGGAGTCCACGATATGCGAGTGTGGAGAAGAGCAAACCACTGACCACCTGCTGCAATGCAACCTGAGCCCTGCCACATGCACAACGGAGGACCCTCTTGCGACAACACCAGAGGCACTCCAAGTGGCCAGATACGGGTCAAAGGACATTTAATCAACTACCAAGTTTGCAAATTCTGTATTTTGTCTTTGTTAAAAACGTAATAAAAAAGTCTGGTTGCTGATGACACGATAAATGGTTGCTGATGTCACGATAAATAAAACCTTGATTGGGGGGAGTTGTAGTTCACCTACATCCAGAGAGCACTGTGAACCAAACACCGATGGATCTGGACTAAACTTGACACACAGACCTGATATGCTTACTGGAGACAAATTCAAGATAGTTGAATTTGTTTGTACTCGAGGGGTTTGGGGCCCATTGCGCCACTGCAGCTCTTCTTTGGTATGGATGTCTGAAGGCCTAGTAAAAGTACATTTCCACAATTCCATTGCATTGAGCCATAGTGGTTAAAATGGTGTCGAACAGCATTCATTCGACAGTGTCATCTTCGCACCAGGCAAGGCAGGTGCAGACAAAACAGTTGTGACACAGGCAAGGAAACAGGTTTGGCAGTGTGTTTTTCAATATGTCCTGAACCTTTTTTTTCACTTTTGCAAAAGCACACACAGGAGGCAAGCCTGTACAGGCCCCCATTGCCACTGAGTCACCATAGGGTTACGGCAACAGCCAGAAGCAGCCATAGTGGGCATTGCTTCCATCACAGGGGTGGTGGTGTTCATCTCCATTTCTAAGCTGAAGACCCGGCAATGTCCGTAAACACCTCCAAGGTCATATGACTGTATGGAGCACTGTTACCTTCCCACCGTTACCTTCCCGCCTATTGATGTACTCACATTTGCGTGTTTTCGAACTGCTAGGTTGGCAGAAGCTGAGGCTAATAGCAGAAGCTCATGCTGCCCCCCAGATTCGAACCTGTGACCTTTCAATCTGCATGTTCAGAAGCTCAGTGCTTTAACGCACTGCAAAGGAGATTATTATTATTATTATTATTATTATTATTATTATTATTATTATTATAAACACAAGATGAGTCCACAGCAGACACTCTGCTGGCTGTTGTATTGGATCATACGTCGGATACTTCCCAAGTGTCTAGGACTGTGTGATTTTTTATTATTATTATTATTATTATTATTATTATTATTTGAAACACAACAAGATGGGTCCACAGCAGACACTCTGCTGGCTGCTGAATTGGATCACACGTCAGACACTTCCCGTGTCTAGGACTGTGTGATGTATTATTATTATTAGTATTATTATTAGAAACACAACAAGATGAGTCCACAGCAGACTGCTGGCTGTTGAATTGGATCACACGTCAGACACTTCTCAAGTGTCAAGGACTGTGTGATGTATTATTATTATTATTATTATTATTATTATTATTATTATTATTATTTGAAACACAACAAGATGAGTCCACAGCAGACACTCTGCTAGCTGTTGTATTGGATCATACATCGGACACTTCCCATGTGTCTAGGACTGTGTGATGTATTATTATTATTATTATTATTATTATTATTATTATTATTATTATTATTATTTGAAACATAACAAGATGAGTCCTCAGCAGACAGTCTGCTGGCAGCTGAATTGGATCACACATCGGACATTTCCCAAGTGTCTAGGACTGTGGGATGTATTATTATTATTATTATTATTATTATTATTATTATTATTATTATTATTATTATTAGAAACACAACAAGATGAGTCCACAGCAGACACTCTGCTGGCGGCTGAATTGGATCACACGTTGGACACTTCCCAAGTGTCCAGGATTGTTGTTGTTGTTGTTATTTATTATTATTATTATTATTATTATTATTATTATTATTGAGAGAGTAACGAAATTTCGTTACTATTTCATTATAGTAAGGTAAAAGTAAAGGTTTCTCCTGACATTAAGTCTAGTCGTGTCCAACTCTGGGTTGTGGTGCTCATCTCCATTTCTAAGCCGAAGAGCTGGCGTTGTCCGTAGACGCCTCCAAGGTAATGTTGCCAGCATGACTGCATGGAGCGCCATTACCTTCCTGCCGGAATTGTACCTATTGATCTACTCACATTTGCATGTTTTTGAACTGCTAGGTTGGCAGCAGCTGGGAGCTCACCCCACTCCCCGCATTCGAACCACTGAGCTTTCGATCAGCAAATTCAGCAGCTCAGTGGTTTAACCTGCTGCACCACAGGGAGCTCCAGCATGCGTGTGTGTGTGTGTGTATATGTATATATATACATATATATATATATATACACACACACACACACACACACACACATATATATAGAATAGGGAAGGTTAACATTTCTATGACTTTTTTTTGTTTGTTCCCTTGTTCAGAAGATTTCATCTCCCTTTCTGTCCCTGTGACGATTAGATTTTGATAAACGTGGCTTGTTGCAGAAGCAAGAATTGGTGCTAAAGCTTCAGTGGAGACCCTTTTTCCCCATGATAACAATTCTTTCAGGAGTGAATTTCCCTATTTATGTATATATGTATGTATGTAAAACATTTATATTCCACCCTTCTCACCCCGTAGGGGACTCAGGGCAGAGCACAACATTGATACGCCGGGACATAACATTCAATGCCGGGACATAAAATCATAAATATATACAAAATTAAAACCACCTATATTCACATTAAAAGTTGCTTACAAACCATCTCAGGGCATAATTTTGCCTCACTGCACTGCCCCCAAAGGCTTGCAAACTATTGCCAAAACCTTCTCCTGGTTTTCCAAGTCCACTGATGTCCACTGAGGCCTTTCCCACCTTTGTCTTGCAAATCCAGGAAGCAAAACAAACAAGCAAACCTCAAAAAATGACAAACAAAAGCAAGAATCCACAATGCGTCACGTACCTGTCTCGTTCGTGTCCAACTGGGCAAACGGCCCCTCCTCAGATGCCTTTGCGCAACTCCGGCCACGTTGGCCATCTCTGAAGAGTCCCGGTACTGATGTTTCACACCTGAGGGCAGGAGGAGAAACTGGATGAGTAAGAAACGTGGGCTCATCTGCTATTTGCCAAGGAAAAGTTGGCAAATTTTTTTTGTTATGCAGCCTTTCTCTCCGGCATCAAAACTTGGAGAGAGGACAGAAGGCCAGTCATATATTTGGCATTGGTGGATGCAAAGTGACTCTAAAAGGACTCTAAAGGGAACCTTCCACCACATGTGGTGGTCGTGTGAAAAGGCCACAAAACACTGGAAAATAATCCATGAAGAAATTTTTAAAAATGGATATTGAACTACAGAAGAAACCCGGATATTTTTTATTAGGCATTACAGATCTGAAATTGGAATCGAATAAAGAAATACTTTTAAATTATTAATCCATGGCCACAAGAGAGTCCATCACCCCTAAAACACACACAAAAAAACCAGCAGAACAGACTTAAAATCCCCCAAAATAAACTATATATACATATGTATTGTCGAAGGCTTTCATGGCTGGAATCACTAGGTTCTTGTGGGTTTTTTCGGGCTATATGGCCATGTTCTAGAGGCATTTTCTCCTGACGTTTCACCTGCATCTATGGCAAGCATCCTCAGAGGTAGTGAGGATGCTTGCCATAGATGCAGGCGAAACATCAGGAGAAAATGCCTCTAGAACATGGCCATATAGCCCGAAAAAACCCACAAGAACCTATACACATACACACATATACATATACACAAACACAGATACATACATACGGACACACACACACATGTACACAAGCACACACAAATATACACATACATATAGACATGCACACATATACATATATTTACATATAGACATGCATACATACACATACACATATAATACATACACATATATACACAAGCACACGCACATACACAATATACATATACACATATAAACATAAAATACACAAATATATACACATATATATACACACACACATATACACCCATCTATCTATCTATATATTTGTGTACACATATACACAATATATGTGTATATATTATAGATGGGTGTATATGTGTGTTTGCATAGATAGATAGATAGATAGATAGATAGATAGATAGATAGATAAACATATACACAAGCACACACATATACACAATATACATATACACATATAAACACAAAATACACAAATATATACACACATATATACACACACATATACACCCATCTATCTATCTATCTATCTATCTATCTATCTATCTATCTATCAATTTGTGTACACATATACACAAATATATAGATAGATGGGTGTATATGTGTGTTTGCATAGATAGATAGATAGATAGATAGATAGATAGATAGATAGATAGATAGAGATAAATACACATATACACATACACAAAACATATATACAGACGGCTAGTCTATATAAATAAAAATGTAATGTTCGTTTGTGGGATTAACATAACTCAAAAACCACTGGACGAATTGACATTAAGTTTGGACACAACACACGTATCAGGCCAATGAGTGACCATCACTCATAAAACACTGAAAAACACAGCAGAAGAGACTTAAAAAGCCAAAAAATAAAAAATGCATTACAACACATATGCAAAACCACACATAATGTATATCTATATAAATAAAAATGTAACGTTCGTTATATGGACGAATTGCAGTGAAATTTGGCCCCAAGTCACCGATTAACCCAAGGAGTGACCATCACTCAAAAAAATGATTTTGCCATTTGGGAGTTGTAGTTGCTGGGATTTATAGTTCACCTACAATCAAAGAGCATTCTGAGCTCAGCCAATGATGGAATTGAACCAAACGTGGCCCACTGGACTCCCATGACCAACAGAAAACACTAGAAGATCGCCAGACTGGGCCACAGCAACGTGTGGCAGGGGACGGCTAGTACAATATAATACTGACAATAATACAATATTATAATTATATATTTTATTTTACATGTAGTATTACTAATAATATTACAATATAATGGTATAGTACAATATAGTAATAGATCATACTGATATTGTACTATGCTAATAATATAATATATTGTATCTACGTGTGTGTGTGTGTGTGTGTGTATAAACACGACATTTATATGCCGCTCTTCTCACTCCGAAGGGGAACTCAGAGCAGCTTACAAGATACACACACACACATATATATCTTGTAAGTTGCTCTGCGTTCCCCTTCGGGGTGAGAAGGGCAGTAGAAATGTCACAAATAAATAAATAAACATTAGGAAGAACTTCCTGACCATAAGAAGAGTTGTTCAGCAGTGGAACTCTCTGCCTAGGAGTCCGGTGGAGGCTCTTTCCTTTTAAACAGAGGTGCAATGGCCATCTGTCAGGGATACTTTGATTGTGCTTTTCCTGAATGGCCAAGGGTTGGACTAGATTGGCTCATGTGGTCTCTCCCAACTCTATCATTCGATGATTATTTAGTTTCTCGGAGCAACTGGGTTTCGCCCAAAGGAATCGAATCAAGTAAGGAAACCAAGCTCTAATCTCGTACCTCTTCTTTCACAGCGGGAGGGAAAATAAACACTGGCTGAACTTTGGTGAACTATGAGCCACCATAAAACCGGTGCATATATTTATGGCACAGTTCTCCATTTGGAGTTGCTCGACTCCTGCAGCCATTTCTAACAAGACGGGGAAAGGAGGAAAATCGCAAAGCGATTGGGATGCAAAGTGAAGGTCTAGGAAATACCAATTTGCCCAGCTTAGATAGTTGTATAACTGGTAGGTAAGGGAAAGGTTTTCCCCTGACATTAAGTCCAGTTGTGTCCAACTCTGGGGGTTGGTGCTCATCTCCATTTCTAAGCTGAAGAGCCAGCATTGTCCATAGACACCTCCAAGGTCATGTGGCCAGCATGACTGCATGGAGCGCCGTTACCTTCCCGCCGGAGCGGTACCTATTGATCTACTCACATTTGCATGTTTTCGACCTGCTAGGTTGGCAGTAGCTGGGGCTAACAGTGGGAGCTCACACTGCTCCCTGGATTCGAACCGCTGACCTTTCAGTCAGCAAGCTCAGCAGCTCAGTGCTTTAACCCACTGCAAAGTGGTTACTTATTATATTATATTATTTATTTATGACATTTATATGCCACCCTTCTCACCCCGTAGGGGACTCAGAGCAGCTTACAAGATACACACAGACACATATATATATATACATACATACAATATATTATATTATTAGCATAGTACAGTATCAGTATTAAATATTACTATATTGTACTATACCAGGGGTCCCCAAACTACGGCCCGCGGGCCACTCCCAGCCCGCCAAGGGCACTTATCCGGCCCGCGGAGGAACAGTGCCCCTCCCTTGGCTGGCTCATGCTATCTGTCAGGCCCGATGGGCAGGGTGAGCCAGCCAAGGGCAGCTGCTCCGCGTGGCCTACTCGCGCGTAAAGCACCTCGCGAGGGGCTGCTCCTCCCTTGGCAGGCTCACGCTATCCGCCAGGCCCGATGGGCAGCGTGAGCCAGCCAAGGGAGGCTGCCCCGGCGCTCCATGCAGTCATGCCGGCCACATGACCTTGGAGGTGTCTATGGACAATGCTGGCTCTTCGACTTAGAAATGCAGATGAGCACCACACCCCAGAGTCAGACACGACTGGACTTCATGTCAGAGGAAAACCTTTAACTAGGAAAATTGTGGAAGATCCAGGGTGGGAGAAAGAACTCTTGCCTGTTGGAGGGACGTATGAATGTTTCAATTGGCCACCTTGATTACCATTTCATAGCCTGACAGTTTTTAGGGAGAATCCTTTGTTGAGAGGTGATTAGCTGGCCCTGATTGTTTCTTGTCTGGAGTTCCCCTGTGTTTGAGTGTTGTTCTTTATTTACAGTTATAATTTTAGAGTTTTTTTTAATACTGGTAGCCAGATTTTGTTCAGACTAGAAATAGGAAGATTTCCCATTCTCTGCTCCTGGAATTACTGCCTAAAGAGGGCTAGAAAGAACCCCCTCTAAGGGCCCTTCCACACAGCAAAATAAGATATGTGCAATGTGCATAGGAATTTTTTAAATTGATTTTTTAAACAAAAAAACTATAGTCCGCCCTCCAACGGTCTGAAGGCCAGTGAACTGGCCCCCGGTTTAAAAGGTTTGAGGACCCCTGTACTATACCATTAGATTGTAATATTATAAGTAGTATTACATGTACCGTATTATAAATATATAATTATAATATCACATTATTATTCGTATTTTACTGCATTACATTATAATATTATAAACATTACATGTATATACAATATATTATATATACACTATATTATATATACAATTATTATTATTATTATTATTATTGAGAGAGTAGAGAGAGTAATGAAATTTCGTTACTATTTCATTGTAATAAGGTACAGGTAAAGGTTTCCCCTGACACTGTCTAGGGTCTTCAACTCTGGGGTTTGGTGTTCATCTCCATTTCTAAGCTGAAGAGCCGGCGTTGTCCACAGACACCTCCAAGGTCATGTGGCCAGCGTGACTGTATGAAGCGCCATTACCTTCCCGCCGGAGTGTACCTATTGATCTACTCACATTTACATGTTTTTGAACTGCTAGGTTAGAAGAAGCTGGGGCTAACAGCAGGAGCTCACGCTGCTCCCTGGATTCGAACCGCCGACCTTTCAGTCAGCAAGTTCAGCAGCTCCATTGGAATGGCCACATTGTCCAAATGCCCATTCACCGTCTCTCAGTTACCATACTCCCAACTCAAGAACAGAAAATGTATTGTTGGTGGACAGGAAAAGAGATTTAAAGATGGGCTTATAGCCAACCTTAAAAACTGCGGCATAGACACCCAGATCTGGGAAGCCTGGCCCTTGAGCGCTCTAACAGGAGGTCAGCTGTGACCAGCAGTGCTGCAGAATTCAAAAAGGCACGAATGGAGGGCAAAAGGGTGAATAGGTCTCCACAGCCACCCACCACCAAGACACTACACTTGGAAGGCCAGCATCCTCAGGCTACGAGGGATCGCCTAAGTAAATAAGTTATCAATTGGGCAGGAAATCAAAACCACTCACTTTCGCAAAAATACACACAAACATATATATCTCACCCTTTTGCTATTTAACCCTAAAGCTCTGTAAGGTCAGCCCAGACAGGCCGGTCTTACAGCCTTCCTGGAAAGGAGGGGGAAAAACCCGCAACCACGAAAAAAGAATATATAAGGAGGAAAGGTTGACTTGATGACAGAAATGGAGGAGAGGGAAATGAGAATAGTAAGAGGGTAAGAAAGAAAGAAGACCTTCAGTCAGCAAGTTCAGCAGCTCAGCGGTTTAACCCGCTGCACCACCGGGGACTCCATACTTATATATTTCCAGTTTATGGTTATCTTTATATCCTGCTTTCCTCGCTGACTTATATGTATAGTTTTAACTTATAGTTATCTTTATATCCCATTTGCCTCATGTTTATAGTTAGTGATATATATATAAATATATATATATAATATTACATGTAATATTAATATTACTGTATAGTGATATAGTACAATATAGCAATATAGCAATGTATAGTGCTAATATTATAATAATATTGATATTATTATAAGGTAAAGGTAAAGGTAAAGGTAAGGTAGTCCCCTGACATTAAGTCCAGTCATGTCTGACTCTGGGGTGTGGTGCTCATCTCCATTTCTAAGCCGAAGAGCCAGCGTTGTCCGTAGACACCTCCAAGGTCATGTGGCCAGCATGACTGCATGGAGCGCTGTTACCTTCCCGCCGAGCGGTACCTATTGATCTACTCACATTTGCATGTTTTCGAACTGCTAGGTTGGCAGAAGCTAGGGCTGACAGCGGAAGCTCACGCCGCTCCCCGGAATCGAACCTGCGACCTTTCGATCAACAAGCTCAGCAGCTCAGTGCTTTAACCCACTGCGCCCCCGGGGGCTCCTGATATTATTATAGTATAATACAATAAAATACTTCTACTAATACAATATAATATTATATATTACATTACTGTATAGTGATATAGTACAATATAGCAATGTAGAGTGCTAATATTATAATAATATTGATATTATTATAATGTAACACAATAAAATGCTACTACTAATAATAATAATACAATGCAATAATATTAATTATATATTACATGTAATATTACTAATAATATTACAGTATAGTGATATAATACAATATAGCAATGTATAGTGCTAATATTATAATAATATTGATATTATAATGTAATACAATAAAATACTGCTACTACTAATAATACAATATAATAATTTTAATGATATATTACATGTAATATTACTATTATTACAGTATAGTACAATATAGCAATATTGAATACTAATATTGTGCTATGCTAATAATATATTTCATATACATATAATATTGATATTATAATGTAATACAATAAAATACTACTAATATTAGGTTATAATAATATTAATGATATATTACATGTAATATTACTAATAATATTACAGCATGGTGATATAGTACAATATAGCAATATAGAATACTAATATTGTGCCATGCTAATATAATATATTGCATATACATATAATATTGATAATATTATTATAATTATTATTATAATGTAATACAATAATAATACAATATGCAATATACAATATAATAATATTACAGTATGGTCATATAGTACAATACAGCAATATAGAATACTAATATTGTGCTATGCTAATAATGTAATATATTTCATATACATATAATATTGATATTATTATAATGTAATACTGTTTTATGATAATGTTTTGAGGGTGCTGAGCTGTTATTTATCAGGGTTTTGGCCGTTTAAGCCACTGGACTGTAAGACCTGTAATCGTGCTTCAATGCAATGTAATTTTGATATGTTTGAAATGTTTTAATATGTTTTAATCATTTGAAAGACTATTTTAATTTATATATTTGTGTTTCTTACAGTTTTATAATATTGTGTTCTATTGATATTGTTGTTATCTGAATCTGGCATTGAATTGTTGCCACAGTTTGTAAGCCGCCCTGAGTCCCCTTCGGGGTGAGAAGGGCGGGGTATAAGTACAGTAAATAAATAAATAAATAAACAAAATACTACTACTACTACTACAATATAATAATATTAATTATATATTACTAATAATATTACAGTACTGTAGTAATACTGCTAATAATATTACAATATATTGATATAGTACAATATAGTAATATATAATGCTAATATAGTTTAGAGCTGTTGCATTTTCACTGCTATTCAAACTAGCACTTTAAGGCTCATATATTAATATATTATAATATTAATATATTACTATAGTATTAATATATTAATATAATATTAATATATTACTCATGTGCTGTGGTTTTTTGGTCGAGTCAGGAGCAAGTCGCTTCTGGTGTGAGAGAATTGGCCGCCTGCAAGGACATTGCCCAGGGGACGCCCAGATGATTTGATGTTTTTATCATCCTTGTGGGAGGCTTCTCTCGTGTCCCCGCATAAGGAGCTGGAGCTGATAGAGGGAGCTCATCCGCCTCTCCCCGGATTTGAACCTGCGACCTGTCGGTCTTCAGTCCTGCCGGCACAGGGCTTTAACCCACTGCGCCACCGGGGGCTCCTATTATACTAATAATAATATGATATTATAATTATATATTTATATTTCATGCAATATTACTAATAATATTACAATATAATGGTATAGTGCAATATAGTAATACATACTAACATTGTGCTGTGCTAATAATATATTTTATCCACATATAATATTGATAATAATATTATAATGTAATACAATATACTGATAATACAATATAATAATTATATATTTCATATTAGATGTAATATTACTAATAATATTACAGGATACTGGTGTAGTACAATATGGGAATGTATGTTACTAATATTGTGCTATGCAAATAATATAATATATTATGTTCTGGACTACAAGTTCCACAATTCCTCTCGCTATCCTATCTTAGATGGATATCAGGCCTGGGACATATTGGGGCCTTCCCTCCAGGTGTGTTGGACTACAAGTCCCACAATTCCTAACAGCCTAAGCTGAGAGGAAAAGGAAAGAGACTGGTGCTGTTAGGAATTTGGACTACAAGACCCACAATTCCTCCTGCTTTCCTCTCATAGATGGCTATCAGGCCTGAGCCATATTTGAGCCCTCCAGGTGTTATGAACTACAAGCCCCACAATTCCTAACAGCTTTCCTCTCTTTGATGGATATCAGGCCCTCCAGGTGTTTTGGACTACAAGACCCACAATTCCTCCTGCTTTCCTCTCTTAGATGGATATCAGACCTAGGTCATATTTGGCCCTTCCCTCCAGGAGTTTTGGACTACAACTCCCACAATTCCTAACGGCCTAAGCTGAGGGGGGAAAGGAAAGAGACTGGGTCTGTTAGGAATTTGGACTACAAGACCCACAATTCCTCCTGCTTTCCTCTCTTAGATGGATATCAGGCCTGGGCCATATTTGGGCCTTCCCTCCAGGTGTTTTAGACTACAAGTCCCACAATTCCTCTTAGATGGATATCAGGCCTGGGCCATATTAGGCCCTTCCCTCCAGGTGTTTTGGACTACAAGTCCCACCATTCCTAACAGCTTAAGCTGGAGGGGGGTCAGGAAAGAGACTGGGGATGTTAGGAATTTGGACTACAAGGCCCACAATTCCTAACAGCTAAAGCTGAGGGGGGAAAGGAAAGAGACTGGGGCTGTTAGGAATTTGGACTACAAGACCCACAATTCCTCCTGCTTTCCTCTCTTAGATGGATATCAGGCCTGAGCCATATATGGGCCCTCCAGGTGTTTTGGACTACAAGTCCCACAATTCCTAACACCTTAAATTGAGGGGGGAAAGGAAGGAAACGGGGGCTGTTAGGAATTGTGGGAGTTGGAGTCCAAAACCCCTGGAGGGGAAGGCCCAAAATTGTCCCAGGCCTGTTCTACCCCCTGCTTTCCCCTCAGAAAGGGGGTATAAAGAATTATAGCCTCCCAGCCCTGAGAAGCCATGCAAGGGAAGGCCCCTTCCCTCAGAGTGAGGCCTGAGGCCTACTTTGAGGCCTTCCCAGAAGCCTCTGGGGCCGGGCCGCGGGGCCTGAGGACCCCAGGGCGGGCTGCCCACGCCGGTGCCTGCCGGTCCGCCTCCCGCTCACCTGGGCCCGTGGGGAGGCGCGAGGGCCCAGACCCAGGCGCCTCCGGTCCGCCTTCTCCTCCGCGCCGCCGTCCTCGCAGGGCCCCAGCTCCGTAGCTGGCCAAGCCACTCGCCTGAAGGACCCCTCCCCTTATTCCCCTCCCTCCCCTTAATTCTCCACACACATAATATTATTATTCCCCCCTCCTTTCCTTACATATAGTAATATTTTTTTTCCTCCCACCCTCAAAAGAGGAAGCGAAGGACCCCTATTTACAATAATGGATGGATATAGGTGTCCGCGGCAAGCGCCTGCTCGGAAAATAGAAGAGGGAGTAAGGATGAGTGTTGCGCATGCGCATTTCGCTCCCAGAGATTCCCTGCAGCGCCTGCTCGGAAAAAGAGAGGGAAGGGGATGAGTGTTGCGCATGCGCGCTTCGCTTCCAGAGATTCCCTTTTGGCGCCCTCTTCAGGACAACTTCGGTATCGGAAAAAGAGGAAAGGGAGAGGGGTGAGTGCTGCGCATGCGCGCTTCGCTTCCAGAGATTCCCTTTTGGCGCCCTCTTCAGGACAACTTCGGTATCGGAAAAAGAGGAAAGGGAGAGGGGTGAGTGCTGCGCATGCGCGCTTCGCTTCCAGAGATTCCCTTTTGGCGCCCTCTTCAGGACAACTTCGGTATCGGAAAAGGAGAGGGAGGGGGATGAGTGTTGCGCATGCGCGCTTCGCTTCCAGAGATTCCCTGCAGTGCCGTCCCTTTTGGCGCCCTCTTCAGGACACTTCGATATCGCACCCGCTTATGCACTCTCCTTCCTTCATTCAGCCGAGACTCTCAATGTGTAAATCCTTTGCTGCCAACTAGTGGCCAGACCGAGAAATTGCACCTTTTTATTTTCACAGCTGAGTGGTAGAGGGCTCTCTAAAAGCCATAATATTAATATTAATAATAATAATAAATAAATTTATTATCTATTTTATTTATTATATATGGCATTTATATCCCATCCTATCTCACCTCCACAGAGGGACTCAGCATAGTGCCCACAATAAGAAAAGCATAAATATAACACAATATAATAATAATAATAATAATAATAATAATAATACTTTATTTATACCCCACTACTGACTATTAATAATTATTTATTATTTATTTTATTTATTAATAAAATAAATAAAATTAATAGATTATTTATTTATTAATAAAATAAATAATAAAATTAATAAATAATTAATAATAATTAATAATTTATTGTTTATTTTATTTATTATAGATGGCATTTATATCCCATCCTATCTCACTTCCACAGAGGGACTCAGCATAGTGCCCACAATAAGAAAAGCATAAATATAACACAATATAATAATAATAATAATAATAATAATAATAATACTTTATTTATACCCCACTACTGACTATTCTAAAGCCTTTGACTGTGTGGATCATAATAAATTGTGGCAAGTTCTTAGTGGGATGGGCATCCCAAGCCACCTTGTCTCTCTCCTGAGGAATCTGTACAAGGACCAAGTAGCAACAGTCACAACTGACCATGGAACAACAGACTGGTTCAAGATTGGGACAGGCGTACGGCAAGGCTGCATCCTCTCACCCAACCTTTTTAACTTGTATGCAGAACACATCATGCGATGTGCGGGGCTGGATGAATGCAAAGCTGGGGTGAAAATTGCTGGAAGAAACATTAACAACCTCAGATATGCAGATGACCACTTTGATAGCCGAAAGCGAGAAGGAGCTGAGGAGCTTCTAACCAAGGTGAAAGGAAGAAAGCTGAGTTGCAGTTAAACATAAAAAAACCAAGATTATGGCCACCAAGAATGATTGACAACTGGAAAATAGAGGGAGAAACCGTGGAGGCCGTGACAGACTTTGTATTTCTAGGTGCAAAGATTACTGCAGATGCAGACTGTAGCCAGGAAATCAGAAGACGCTTCCTTCTTGGGAGGAGAGCAATGTCCAGTCTCGATAAAATAGTAAAGAGTAGAGACATCAGACTGGCAACAAAGATCCATTGCCTAGTCCAAGCCATGGTCTTCCCTGTAGTCACCTACGGATGTGAGAGCTGGACCTTAGGGAAGGCTGAGCGAAGGAAGATCGATGCTTTTGAGCTGTGGTGTTGGAGGAAAGTGCTGAGAATGCCTTGGACTGCGAGAAGATCCAACCAGTCCATCCTCCAGGAAATAAAGCCCGACTGCTCACTGGAGGGAAGGATACTAGAGACAAAGTTGAAGTACTTTGGCCACATCATGAGGAGTTAGGAAAGCCTAGAGAAGACAATTATGCTGGGGAAAGTGGAAGGAAAAAGGAAGAGGGGCTGACCAAGGGCAAGATGGATGGATGGCATCCTTGAAGTGACTGGACTGACCTTGAGGAGCTGGGGGTGGTAACGGCCGACAGGGAGCTCTGGCGTAGGCTGGTCCATGAGGTCACGAAGAGTCGGAGACGACTGAACGAATGAACAACACAACCATCTCCCCAAGGGACTTGGTGCGGCTTACATGAGGCCGTGCCCACAATACAACAATACAAGCAATACAAGCAGTAACAAATACTATACAAAGCAATTAAAATAAACCTCATACACAACATAAACATTGAACAATATAATAAAAACAGTATACAAACGATATACATACAACGCCGAATTCAGTCGTAATCCTAAAAGCAATCTATCATAGTCCATTAAAACCGTAATTTTACCAGTTACGGTTTTAATGGACTATACCTATTATTATTATTATTATTATATCATATTTATATATTATATATTACATCATATATAATAATTATAAATGTATAATTACATATTTAGTTACATATTCATAATTATATATTTATATTATATATAATATATACATATATTATATTATATATTATATTATTGTGTCAGTAACATAATAATAAATTATAATATAGTATATAATATATTAATATATTATATATGATATTAATATATATATATATATATATATATATATATATATATCAATTTAAATACGTAATACGAGCCATCCCCTGCCATGCTGCTGTGGCCCTGTGTGTATATGTGCTTTATGTGTGTATATATATGTATATGTGTATATATGTGTGTTTGTGTATATATGTGGTTTTGCGCATGCGTTGTAATGTATTTTTTGTTTTTTGGCTTTTTAAGTCTTTTCTGCTGTGTTTTTCGGTGTTTTTATGAGTGATGGTCACTCGTTGGCCTGATAGGTGTCTTGTGTCCAAATTTGGTGTCAATTCGTCCAGTGGTTTTTGAGTTATGTTAATCCCACAAATTAACATTACATTTTTATTTATATAGATTGTATATACATATAATATTTATAATATTATAATGTAATAAAATATATAATATTTCATATTATATTCTATATTATATAATATGTAATAATATATAATATAATATAATATAATTGTGTCAGTAAAATAATAATTATAATATATTATATATTAATATATTATATATAATATAAATGTATAATTTTAAATATGTAATATAGTTATATATAGGAAAATAATAAGAAGAAGAAGGAAGGGAAGTGGAAGAGAAACAACAGCCACAAACGTTGAATAATAATAATTATAATCTTTAATAAAAAATAAATTAGATTTGGACCGAAAGCAAATGTGGGTTCGGGGCAACAAAACCAACCTGGTGATACATTCAACTTTATCATAGAGCTTTTTTCTTTTTTTAATATAGCGCATATAGACTCTTATTTGTACTTTGATATAATCGGAGGATGCTGAAACAATTTCCGTAAAAGCCTTTTGAAAATATATATATATAAAATCTGTTTCAAAAATTGCTCTGAATAGGCAGCTGTACCTTTAAGAACAGTTCGAAAAATTCAACCAGTGCTGCCATTTACACTCAGAGATATTTTTTCTCCTTCTTCTTTTACCCACTCCAATTAAAATGACCAAGGATGCCACCTTTTCCTATCATTCCTGTGCATTTAACACCTGAAATTCAATAAGTCATAGCTGTTCAGGGCACATTTCAGATTGTTAAGAGGACAGGAGCCCAAGGGGAGAAAAAAGTTGGCAACCCAGATGGCTGAAACATGTCCTTAAAAATCAAAATACCTTTTCCCAACCTTTTAAATTATTATTATCCTGTGCATTTAATATCAGAAATTCAATAAGTCATAGCCGTTTGGGGCATATTTCAGATTCTTAAGAGCACAGGAGCCCAAGGGGAGAAAAAGGTTGGCAACCCAGATGGCGTAAACATGTCCTTAAATATCAATATATTTTTCCAACCTTTTTTTCTATCATTCTTGTGCATTTCTTATCAGAAATTCAGTATTTTCAGGATATATTTCAGATTGTTATGAGCACAGGAGCCATAGCAAGAAAAAAGTTGGCAACCTTCATGGCTCAAACATGTCCTTAAAAATCAATATACTTTTTCCAACCTTTTTTTCCTATTATTCCTTTGCATTTTATATCAGAAATTCCATAAGTTCACGGCATATTTCAGATTGTTATGAGCACAGGAGCCATGGCGAGAAAAAAGTTGGCAACCCTGATGGCTTTGAAAAATCAAGATACCTTTCCCAAGCTTTGTTTTTCTTATCCTGTGCATTTAAAGTCAGAAATTCATAACTCATAACTGTTCGGGGCAGATTGTTAAGAGCACAGGAGCCGAGGTGGAGAAAAAAGTTGGCAACCCTGATGAAGAAATCATTACAAATTACCTGTGACTTCCGGGAGAAAATACAGTCGTCATACAAAAATATACTTCCTATATGTGTAGAGATAGCCTATTCCTTGGTTGCCAACTTATTTTACTGGGCCGCGCTCCTCTGTTGCTTTTAACACCCATTTGTAAACACACCAAAAAGGGATCCTGGTTCATACATATGCATATATACACATACATATACGCCATTACTTTGGAACACAGTGCATTCAAGGTCCTGGCGTCTCGAATTCAAAATATACGGAGATGGCATGGACCTCCGCGATGCGTAGTGTCACATAGTCCCCAAAAACGGCACAATTGACTCTAATGGGGTTGCAGAACATGGCAACGAAGTGTCGCAAAGCAGAACCCTTTTCGGGTCCCGATCGTCCACGCGATCACTCTGCATGCGCATCGCCCTCTCTGGGAAAGGACTGTTGGGGTTGTGAGTTCCTTCATGCGGAGGTGATGCTCCCCGATGGAAAGTCCATGCTTTACGGGGTTGTTTCCTCCCCTCCGATGAAGGGGATCCCGTTCCGGAGCCCAAACCCCTTTGTCGAGTTGTGACACGTGGGAACGGTCCGCAACGTCGGTTCGGGATCATGAATCGGCGGGTTCGGGTTTCGAAGCTACCGGTTGGGTTGCACCTGGTGCCGCTCCAAAGCGTGTGCGCAGGAAGCGCAACAGATCACCTTGTAGTAGGGATAGACGCACAGCCGGGCTTGCATGATCACCGGGCAGTTTTGGATGATGTCCTTGCAGTTCTCGTCTGGGGAGGAAACGGGGAGGAAGAGGAAGGTGACGGCAGAGCTTGCAATGTACCTTTGCGGCCACAACATTATGCCCCAAAAGGGAACTACCTAACCTGTGACGAGATTGGGACTTCCAACTCCCAGAAATCTCCACTGCCTTGGTTAATGATCAGGGGTTCTGGGAGTTGTAGTCCCAAACAACTGGAAAGCCAGAGTTCGGGGAACACGGCTCCAAATGAAAGAGCAGCTTGGAAGGACAGTTTGACTTCCACATATCCTTCTTTACTGTCTTTCTTTCTCCTTCCTTCCTTCCTTTCCTTCCTTCCTTCCTTCCTTCCTTTTCCTTCCTCTTTCTTTCTCCTTCCTTCCTTCCTTCCTTCCTCCCTTTTCCTCCTCTTTCTTTCCTCCTTCTTTCCTTCCTTCCTTCCTTTTCTTTTTCCTCCTCTTTCTTTCTCTTTCCTTTCTTTCTTTCTTTCTTCCTTCCTTTTCTTTCTTTTTCCTCCTGTCTTTCTTTCTTTCTTTCTTTCTTTTCTCTTCCTTTCTTTTCTTTCTTTCTTTCTTTCTTTCTTTTCTTTCTTTCCTCCTTCTTTCTTCTCTTTCTTTCTCCTTTCTTTCTTTCTTTCCTTCCTTTTCCTTTTCCTTCTTTTCTTTCTTTCTCTTTCTCTCTTTCCTTTCCTTCCTTCCCTTTTTTTTTCTTCCTCTTCTTTCTCCTTCTTTCTTCTTTTCCTTCCTTCCTTCCCTTCCTTCTTTTCTTTTCCTCTTCTTTCTTCTCCTTTCTTTCTTTCCTTTCTTTCCTTTCTTTCCTCCTTCCTTTTCTTCCTCCTCTTCTTTTTCTTCTGCTTTCTCTCTTTTCTTCGTTCCTTCCTTCTTTCTTTTCTTTTTCATCCTGTCTTTCTTCTCCTTTCTTTCTTTCTTTCTTTCTTTCTCTTTCCTCCTTCCTTCCTTTTCTTTTTCCTCTCTTTCTTTCTGCTTTCTTTCTCTTTCTTTCTTTTCTCCTCTCTTTTCCTTCCTTTTCTTTCTTTTCTTTCTCCCTTTCTTTCTCTTTCTCTTTTCTTTTCTTTTCTCCTTTTTTCTTATTTTTTTCTCCTTCTTTCTGTTCTTTCTCTTTCTTTCTTTCCCTTCTTTTTCTTTCTTTCTCCTTTCCTTTCTTTCTTTCCTTCCTTTCTTTCTTCTTTCTCCTTCTTCTTTCCTTTTTTCTTTCTCCTTCCTTCCTTTTTTCTTTCTTTTTGTTTCTTCTTCCTTCCTTTTCATCTTTGCAATGTTTACTGTATTCAACACTTATGTCAAAAACTGACATCACATGAAAACTTATACAAAACACACATAAATAAATTCCGAATCCATTCAGAGCAAACAACAAGCGGGTTGGGGGATTCTGGGCCTCGCAGCCCCCTGTTTGCACAAAAGACGTCCCACCCCGAGGCACAAAGGGGACCACGTTCACGTGACTGGGGAAGCGCAGGCGAAAGGTGTGTTGTGGGTTGAGAAAAGAGGCCTACCTCCCGGTCCCACCTGCTCCAGCGTTAGGGCTCCTGCGGCCGCGAGTGGCAAATGGGCTCCAGGCAGGGATTCTTACCAATCTCGGGGAGGCAGGGCTGGGCGTTGCAGGGTCGCTTGGTGGCCGGCTTGAGGTCCGGCGGGCAGAGGCGGCTCAGGGTCCGGTTTGGGGTCAGGCACTGGACTTCCCTCACCTGGACGCCGCCCATGCAGGACTGGGAGCACTGGGAGACAGACAGGGGATCGAAAAGGCAGGCGTTGGAAGGCCATCTGTCGGGAGGGCTTGGATTGTGACCTCCTGCCTGGCAGAAGGGGGTTGGACTGGATGTCCCTGGGGGTCCCTTCCAACTCTAGGGTTTCATCATTCTATTATTATTATTATTATTATTATCATTATTATTATTAAACAGAAGGTGCATGGCCATCTGTCGGGAGGGCTTGGATTGTATCTTCTTGTCTGGCAGAAGGGGGTTGGACTAGATGGCCTTTGGGGTTCTTTCCAACCCTAGGGTTTTATTGTTCTATTATTATTATTATTATTATTAAACAGAAGTTGCATGGCCATCTGTCAGGAGGGCTTGGATTGTGTCTTCCTGCCTGGCAGAAGGGGGCTGGACTGGATGGCCCTTGGGGTCCCTTCCAACTCTAGGATTTCATCCTCCTCCTCCTCCTCCTATTATTATTATTATTATTATTATTATTATTATTATTATTATTATTCTATTCTATTGTTTTATTGTTGTTTTATTATATTCTATTGTTTTGGTTGAATGGCCATCTGTTGGGAAGGCTTTGATTGTGTGCTCCTGGTTGGCAGAAGGGAGTTGGGATGGATGTCCCTCGGGGTCTCTTTCAACTCTAGGATTCTATTGTTCTATTATTATTATTGTTGTTATTGTTATTATTATAATATTATTATTTAGCAGAGGTTGTATGGCCATCTGTTGGGAGGAATTTGATTGTGTGCTCCTGTCTGGCAGAAGAGGCTCCCTTTCAACTCTAGGTTTCTATTGTTCTATTATTATTATTATTATTATTATTATTATTATTATTATTTAGCAGTGGTGTATGGCCATCTGTAGGGAAGGCTTGGTTTGTGTACTCCTGCCTCGCAGAATGGGTTGGACTAGATGTCCCTTGGAGTCCCTTCCAACTCTAGGATTCTATTGTTCTATTATTATTATTATTAT